CATTACAGTAATTCAATCTGTGTTATTGGCCATTAAGATTGTTTCTTTCAAATTAAGAGAACAACCGATTCAGGGAGAACGAAAAAGCTTGGAAATTATGGCTGTTTTAACTTTAAAAATACAATTTACAACTAGTAATAGCTCACGCAATCGGATAATTATTGCGACAGTCGGGCCTCCTTATTACTTTTTAGGCGATCCTGTTTTCCTAGCACTTCCCTAAACTACGTGCCGTTAATGCGCCCGCACAAACGATTACACCAAAACGTGAATTAACTGGGTAATCATTCTCGGTTTCCGATACATAATTAAAACCTCGTTTACCGCCCTGCGATAGCACAGAGGGATGTTTGAATAATTCTCAACCGACCGTTCAAATTGCCTTTCGACGTTTGTTATCGTAAATCAAAAGAGATGTAATGACCAGTTACTGGACGTTTTAAATTTTAATTTCAACCGTTTTCCATTAACATTGATCGAAGGTTCGCTGTTTATGATTTTACAACAAATTCTGTCGATTGTCGTTTATTTGGTAAAAATTTAAATGTACAGTCTTGTTCTGTGACTCACGTATCCCGAGGGTAAATCCAATTAAATTCCCCGTTCCTATTTACCCCTGGAGGTTTTGCAGGGGGTGTAGTTTATTATAAAGTCCCGTTTGAATGGTTGACCGTGTCTCCGGTCAGTTCCGGGTAATTATTCCGAGGCGGTGGTCACGGATGGTTATGGTCAGTTAGGCCGTTTTGTTCCAAAACCCTCACCGGTGTTTCGTGACAATTTCGATCATTGTTTCTGAACAGAATTGTAAAAAAAAATAAAAAATAAATAAATAACATCTTTTACGATTTATATTTTTAAAAAATGTATTCCCCCAATTCCTCTTTCAACCCGGGAGGTTTTTAGTTTGTATCTTTCTATTGCAAATCAACAGTAGTACTGTTATTGGTAGAAAAGACCATAATTTCCCACAATAAAAACTTTCAATCTTACAAATAAGTGTAATAAAGGTACAAATTACCATTTAATATAGAGAAAGATCCAGGCTATATAAAACAGCCATCATATTCCTTACATATCTATTTAAATCCGTTCTTCAGACAAGCTACTTCCCTATAACGTGGAATCAGTTATACATTAGAATATTTCTTACTCATTGGACTACTTCTTATAGGCCAATAAGTCTACTACTTATTTTGAGTAAAATTTAAGAAAAGCTTGTTAAAAAGAATTCTTCCGACTCTAAATTCTCAAAGACTAATTCCCCGATCATCAATTGCAACTGTCAACTGTTCAACTATACCATCAGGTGATAGACATTATCTCCGTCTCCCATGAGTTGGGCAGTACTGTTCTGGGGCTTTTCTTAACATAAGCCAAGATTTTGTTCGAGTTTGGCATTTTATATTGCAAAGTTACCTAGCTGGTCTGTTTTTCCGAGTATGCGAGACAATTTCCTTTCTACGTGATTCCTGTCGAAGTGTTCCTCGGTGTAGGTCCTGGCTTCCACACTATACCAGGTGTATACAGCAATTCCATAACATCACACACCTTAAACCACCATCTCACTTACCACGGATGATAGAGCAATATTTCTAGTAACTCCGATCCTGTTATTTCCACTGGAAAACTTAATAACACCTCACACTACTATTTTTGGTGTGAAAGGAAAAAAAATAAAATTTAACTTTCAATTAATTAAGGTTTTTAATTGAGATAAAAGTCTCTGTCACGAGCGGGATTCGAACCCACGACCTTCGGCTAGATACGCCGCTACTCTACCACTTGATTTATTGTGATTTCGATCCGCTCGGACACTAACTTCCCATCTCAACCCCACCTCTTGAATTTTCCCTCCTTTTTGCCATTTTTACCTCAACTAAAAACCTTAATTAATTGGTCAAGCGGACCACGAAAACTAGTGAATAAAATTTAACACCGAGGTATCCAACCATATTAACGTTCCTCTGCGGAAAAACATCTCCCCTCCAGTCAACATAAATAACATTCTCTTTCCAACTGCAGACAAGATGCGGTACCTCGCGCAGTACATCGACAGACGCTTGACACTCATCACACACGACTAAAACGTCAAGAAGTTATGCCACGATGGAAGGCAAAAAATGCAATTACGGTCTTACTTTTTCTTTCGTTTTTCTTGTGCTATAAGTCTAAATATTATTTCTGAAAGGTCAACGAAACGAATATTTAAAAAAAAAATGCAATTACGGTCTTAGTTTGTCTTTCGTTTTTCTTGTGCTGTAAGTCTAAATATTATTTCTGAAAGGTTAAAGGAACGAATATTTGAAAAAAATTGCAATTACGGAAATCGGGTCTTTTAGTTATGGATCTGTTTTTGGCTTGTCTTTCGCTTTTCTTACACTGTAAGTATAAATATTATTTCTGAAAGGTCAACGAAACGAATATTTGAAAAAAAAAAGTTGAAAGTTATCCCTGTCTTGTTGATATTTTTCAATCGCATCGAAGAATTTTATGCCGATTCCAATTATTTATTTTTTCATCTAAGGTTTTTGGTTGAAAAGAAAAATTTGTGTCACGAGCCCACGATCTGCGGCTTAATACGAAGCTGCTCTAACCACTTGAGTTCTCGTGGCTTATTGAACCGAAAGTCGTGTGTTCGAATCCCCTTAGTGACAATAATTTTTCATCTCAAACAAAAACCTTAGATAAAAAGAATAATTGATTGGAATAATTGATATGGTGATTTATGACCACCAAGCAAATATGGATTAATTTATGCCAATTGTTTATTATTGCTATTGAGGTCGGATTTTCATTTGCTTTTTAAGGAAAAGGGCTGACTGTTATTGGAAATATCCCCTCGGAGAGTTTGCTTTAACGGGATTTTTTTCGAAATGGGACAAAGGGGTTGAAGGCGCGTTGAGGCTTAAGTGTTAATTAAAGGGAATTGCTGCCCGATGGGGGCGGTTTTATGATCCTCCCATTGTTCTCGGTCGGGCCGGACGTTAAAACAGTTTAATTGTAGATCTTGGAAACGGCTTCTGCATTGTCCAGCTTCCTTTTTCCCTCTTTTCCCTTTAACGACGGCTTTCTACGTGTCTCAGGGAACGTTTAAATATTTACTCTGTTGGTGGCAAGATCGCCGTTACACGTGCCCGGCTTTTTTCAACTCTTCCCTGGAAAAAGTGCATAAACGTGCCTTTTACCCTAAGCTCTGGTAGGTGGAGAGATTGATTTACATGAAATTCACCCTTGCCGGTAATGAGGAGGGGTTTTTACAAAACGGCCACAAAGGACAATAAGCTGACTGGGCTCCGTTACAATGACAACATAACCCTATTAGGGAATTTATGTAAATCGGGTCGGCTTGTGAATGCCGTAGCATGGAAAGATCCTTGTGATGGCACAATGCTCTTCCACCTAGGCCTAATCCTTATTCAGGTCCGAACCGAATCAGACCGGGATTGATTTCTGAGACAACAAAGGCCGTCAGCGATTTGCAGGATGTTTCATTGTAATAACAAAACTAATGCCAACATAATAGTGTCCACGTTTGGACAGGCCATGGAGCAACATAGAAACAATATAGTCTCCAATGTTAAACCGTATCAGAATTTTAACAGATAGTTTGATTATTCGATAAATCCATTAACAATCAAAAAATCCTCACAGTTATTAAAACGTATAATTAAATATTTAAAATATTTGTAGACGTCAATGCTAAAGTCATACGATTTTTCCAGTTTTGGGTTTTTCAAAATTTTAAAGTTACAAAACACACTGCTTACCAGGTTCTATTCTTTATCACCTAGTTCAGATAAATGGGGTTATAACGCCAGGTGGGTCTGAAGCTTTTTTTTCAACAGCAAGCTGGCATTAATTTCGGGTTCTAAAACTACAGGCCTAGAATAAAACCGTTGACGGAGTAAATAACGAGTGGACACTTGGTGGCAGTAAACGTATTCATAAACAGCAATGCCAACTGTTTAAGTCACGTAAAGGCCGTAAAGACACGGGCGTAAAGCTAATCCCGGAGACCTCCTGGGTCACCTTTAAGCGTAAATCATAGAAATCCAAAGAGTTTTTACGAGCGACACCTTCCAACGATGTAATTTTAATTATACGTAGTTAAAGTGGGGTGGTTGCGCTTTTCAACATGGCAGCTTACCACGTGTCGATGAACATAATCCTGACGGAAACGATGCTTCTCCAGCTGGTCACTGTTGGGGAGTCGTAGGTAAATTTGTCTACCGGTTTCCGCTGAAGGGTGAACCCTCGATCGACACCCAAAAAGAGCGATAGACCATGACCGGACGTGCCGAATCTTTCGGTCATCTCACGTCTCGACGTAACACCAACCGGAGGATTGCCATTCAACAGGCGTGCCCAAAAAAACCTCTTGAAAAATGATGCGACGGATGGGCGAGATTTTTGAATCCAAATAGCCTTTTTAAAGCAAGTCTACTTACGCGTTAAAACGAACGGTTATCATGTTCCCCCTGCATCTGGTATTGACAGAGAAGAGAAATGCATTAGAGATGCATCAAGCACGTAATAACTTGCATTAGGGGGCACACTGAGTTATTAGTACGAGTCCATTCGTGACACTGCAGTGCCCGAGGATTAGGTTGAAATATGCAGTTCCGTTACCCGGTCCGGCTCATCCGCATTTGTCATGCAGATCCAAATTGTTATTAATATTTGGCCCGTCTGTTACCGGCGACCCGTATGAAAATGGTCGTGATTGTTGGAACTAATCTATACGGATTTTTCCGGTTCGTGATCCATCAATATCAGTTGAGAATCCCTCCCGCCCCTCTTACGATTTACATTAATAAGACAATTAATCAGGGCCCAAAGGGTGACAATTAGCCGAGTCACGTGACCTTCAACCCTTTCGGACACTGACTGATCGACTTGAGGATCAGTGTAATGAAAACAGCACATTAGAGGGTACTAGGAAGTTGTCGGTGTCTAGGTTTCGACTTAATCTGTTAAATCAGCTGTTTTTCCAAAACAGATAAACTACAGGGATGTCACTGTTAGTTAGAATTTTCAAGCGTGCCAATTTACAAAAAGTATTCTGCTTGTGGGTCCTCTTCACGAGTTTCTATATTGTCTTCCTATTTCAGATAGAACAAAATTTAGTGGTCACTTTTGACCTAAATAGCAGAAATGAGTCCGGCAGAAAACTTTGGAGTATTCAAGACATTATACAACAAGGTGATTAAAAAAAGCAATATTTAGTTACCTTAACTTTATTGATTTCAGTATTTCATATTCAATTAGTATTTGTTAATGCTTTGAAAGGTATCAGCAATTCGTCATATGTTGATTAAATGATCACTGTATATAACTCACATGTCAAATGAAAAATAATTATTTTTTAACCGGTATAATTGTTCTTTAGTATTATTAATTATATCCCGATTAGACTTGCATAGCAGAAATCAATAATGAAAAAATTAATCTTTTTGTGTAAGGTTTTGGGTGAAATAAAAAAGCTAGTATCACGAGCGGGATTCGAACCTTCGACCTTTGGCTCAATACGCCGCTGCTCTAACCACTTGAGCTATGGTGACTTCGATGCCCTCGGACACCAAAACTCCATCTTTTGCCATTTTTCACTTCACAGCTCCCTGTGGTCACTTCATATATCGCCGAGAATCGAATCCTGATTACACGACATTTGAAATATGGCGAAAAGGATGGAAAATTCGAAAGGTTATAGGTTGAGATGGGGAATTGGTGTCCGAGTGGATCGAAGTCACCGCTGAAGTGGTTAGAGCAGCGGGTATTGAGTCAAAGGTTTTTGGTTCGAATCGCGCTTGTGCCACTAGCTTTTTAATTTCAACCAAAACCTTACACAAATAAATTAATTAATTGAAAAAAATAATTTAGCCAATCAGGCCACTAAATATAATGGATTTAATTAATCAAAAATATAAATAACAAGTAGCTACAGGGGTGTCGGTGGCTGCGACGGTTAATGCTGTCACCGAGCTTATCACAGCAAGGTAAAGCTCCTGGGTTCAAATCTAGCAGCCCTGCATTCGAACCCTTCATAAATACAAATGGGCTTTTTTCAAATACACCAACACTCCGATGGTTGATTTGAGCTCTGCTTTTGTGAACTTTCGGAAAAAAGCTATCGTTCTTCAATCTAACCAGCATCAATCCTTCGTATAAACATAATTGCTCAAAAGATTGTCAACTTGAGGTTTAATTTCTTTTTAATAATGATATATAACAGATTTTAGTAATTTTTATCAGATTTTTGAATTGTTTTTTAAATAAAATTCAATATAATCTACTAGATTTAGTGGTCTGATAGACCAAATTACTTCTTTCAATTAAAATTAATCTGTTTATGTAAGGTTTTGGTTGAACTGAAAAATTTAGTGTCATCCCGCTCGTGATACTAACTATTTCATTTCGACCAAAACGTACGTAAACAGATTATTCAATAATAATTTTGATTTGGATGATATAACGAAACAATAAACATATAATAATAAAGGAATTAATGAAATTAGACTTAATAAAGACTTAAATCAATAGTGATATGTTGATCATTCCTCCAATAACAGCTACATTTTCTCTAATAAACCTACCTTCTAGCCAACTATTATTTCCAAACTTTCGGACATCCTTGATATCTTTATCTACTAAAGGTGGCCATTCACGATCACTCCAAATGGAACCGCGCCAAGCCGTACTTCACGACCGCTCCACAGTCAGTCGCTCCGAACGTCAACCAGTGAATTACCTTCTCAAAATGGATGACGATCTCTTGTGCTACTCTTCTGTTAATTTACACATTAAAAGCAAAAAATCGAAGAGAAAACGGTGTAAGATGTGGCTCCTGAACAGAAGCCGTAATACCCATATCGATTTGATGAAAGAACTTTCCCTTGAACCCGCTGATTGGAGGAACTATTTAAGGGTGGCTGAAACGTCTTATTTATTCATTATATTTAGTGTTCTATTGACCAAATTACTTATTTCAATTATTTAATCTTTTTTGTAAGGTTTTGGTTGAAATGAAAAAGCTAGTGCCACGAGCGGGATCTGAATCCATGGCCTTCGGGTAAATACGCCACTGCTCTACCACTTGAGCTATCGTGACTTCGATCCTCTCCGACACCAAACAATGGCAAAAAGAGTGAAAATTCGAAAGGTTGTAGGTTGAGATGGGAGTTGGTGCCCGAGTGGATGGAACTATCGAAGTCAGTATAGCTCAAGTGGTTAGCACAGCGGCGTATTTAGCCGAATGTCGTGGATTCGAATCCCCTCGTGAAACTATTTTTTCATTTCAACCAAAACCTTACAAAAAAAAAGATTAACGTCTTATTTATATTTACTCCAGCTTGTTACCCCCTTGATTAGACAATAAAAGACAGTTATTAGAGAAATCATCACTACATGAAAGGTTGGCAACCACATTACGATTTTTCGCTACAGGGATGAACCAAAAAGAACTTAAGTTCTCTACTACGGTTTCTGATCATTGTTAGGGGTTATCAATACCTTATCTCTCATTGCATTTGTATCCTTTGTTTTGAAAACGTCGACCAACTGGTTGAGGATCGAATTTCTTTTATTTCTATCGTGGTAATATAATCATTGTCCACCACTTTCATAAACATGGTAAACTTTCATACAATTCAATCACCTCAACAATAAAATCTCGATTGTATGTCATTACAAATAAAGAATAAACGTTTTTGACTTTTTGAGAATGTACGACGGAGATGTTTGCTCAGTGACAGAAAGACGGAGACTGCGCCAAAAAAACGAGGGTTTTCCCATTCACGACCAGGCCACCGCGCCAAAATCTCCACCCTCCACGCCACATTTTCCCATTCACGAACGCGTCATGCCGTCGTCGCGCCGTAGATATTTGGAGTGGCGCGATGGAGTTTGGACCGGTCGAATATTCGGCACAGCCGGGCACGCCAGTTCAGTTTTGCCATTGACGTGGTTTTTGGAACGGCGTCGCTCCGTTTGGCCTGCTTGGAGCGATCGTGAATGGCCACCTTAAGGCACAGCCGGTTCAGTTTTGCCATTGACGTGGTTTTTGGAACGGCGTCGCTCCGTTTGGCCTGCTTGGAGCGATCGTGAATGGCCACCTTAAAAGATGGCACATTATCCACTGAGAAATCATAACCTTACAGAACTTTCTTGGGATTTTAGATCCTTATTAAACCTCATGTTGATAACAGGTCATTTCGATTTACTCTTGAATCAAAACTTGACTTGACATACCACTGAAAACATCGAACGACATAAGACAACACTGTATAATATTTTATTGAAACTTCACAAAAACTACATAACCAATACATAACACCACTGTACGTACGGTTAATCATAATGGAGAATCGATGCTCAAGAGCCAAGTGACAAGACAATCGCACATATTGTACAACCGACTAACTCATATAGAACTAAAGACCCTGAGACAAGAATGAATCCAAGATTACACTCACGTTCACTGACTATTTGTATTGGACGTAATTTGTAAAAAGTTCATTTAATATGGTCTTATTAACGTTTTATATAAATGTAATTTTAGGTTATTAGTTTTATATTCTAAAAAGTTATTTATAGTATAACATTTTGCATATGCTTTTTTTCTAATTACATCATTTTGTTTCTCCAAATTTGATAAAATGTGAACTCCAAGACATTTTACGAGTTTTTCAATTTTTAGTTCTATCAAGAATTATTTGTATTTTTGGCATTTGTTTATTTACATTTCCTATACATACCTCTTGTTTGAATTAAATTTTAATATATTTTTATTCAATCTGATATACTTTTTAAGTCTTCATTTAATTTTTATATTTTTTTTGTAACTTGCAACCTTCATATATGTTTAGATAACCAGCAAACATTACACGTGAACTACTTTCTAGCAATTAAATAGATGGGTGATATATATGGGGAAAAAAGAATTGTAACGTTGCTCCTTGTGGAACTCCTACTTACAATTATCCATTCTGAAAAATCTCCCTTAACAGTTTTTACGCACTGCTTTCTATTCCTTACATATTATTTAAAAAATAAATTTTACCATATATGTTCAGCGGTCTTAATTGACCATATTAATTATTTCAATTATTATTCCTTTTATCTGAGGTCATGGTGAAAAACCTAGTATTACAAGCGGGATTCGAACCACGATCTTCGGCACAATACGCCGCTGCTATCACCACTTCAGCGTATTGAGCCGAAGGTCCTGGTTTTTCATCTCAACCAAGACCAAAGGACCACAGATAAAAGAATAATTACTTGGAATAAATTTAACTTACTTGAAAAACCAATTGATTTTAAAATTGTAAGTAATAATGCCTGATGTGCTCTGTTGAAGATACTGCTAAAATCAATTAATACTAATTCTATTATTTTGCTATTATTTATTATATTTCTAGCATCATCTAATAATTTTATTACAACTGTTTGAGTATTATGATATTTTTTATTTTCAAATTGATTAATGTTTAATATTTTCCTTTAGTAAATAAATTTGTTTAGTTTTTGGTATAAAGCATTACCAAATATTTTTGCAAATGTGTATAATATAATTGGTCTATAACAGCTGGGATCAGTTGGTGGCGATTTGTTAACAACTGGGATGATATATGAATGATATGAGAGATATAGGTACAGAGTGTGTGTGTGTGTGTGTGTGTGTGTCTGTGTCTGTGTCTGTGCGCGTGCGCGTGCGTGCGTGTGTGTGTGTGAGAGAGAGAGAGAGAGAGAGAGAGAGAGAGAGAGAGAGAGAGAGAGTTGAAAGGAGGTCAAAATGACTTTTTAATGATGTATCAGGAATTTCTGCATGTTTTCTCATGAACAAATGAACAATCCATCAATATTTATATGTAAAATATGGGATAGTTATAATAAATTATAATAATAGGTTTTTTACTTACTTTTGGCTTTAGGTAATAGTTTGTGGCAATTCTTAAAAATCGAGCTATCAGAAATGCGTTGGGTCTTAAGCTTCATGAAAGAGACTAATGAGCTTAATATATCGTTTAAGAAGAAAAGACACAAAGTAAAAAGTAATCAATTTTTTGGTTTCGTCTAGCAGTTTTAAAATTTATTTAACGTTTTGTTAACGTAACCTTTTCAGTTAGTAGGATCAGGTCTTCCCATGAAAAATTTGTCGAAAGAATTGAAAACAGTGAGTTGTATATTATGTGTGGTGATTATTGACCGTTAATCGATAATTATTCAGAAATCGTGAGATGCATTCTGACATAACATACCGGTGTGACATGTGGTCACAGACCGTATCTCATGATTTCTGAATAATTAGTTCTATATTGTTTTGATATTGTTTGAATTCAGACCATTCGAACAATGTATGAAAATGTTTTTTGTTTTTATTTGTTTATTTTGTCCATTGGTTGAAGATTTTATTAGGGGCTGCTATATGGAAAATCCACTGCTTATAAATAACTTAAAGAGACATCGACTTTCGCGAAAAAATAAAACAATAAGGCGAATTTATCGTCGAACGAACCTCGATTCTACCGTTTGGAATTTGAGTGGCAGCAAGGTAAGAACGTTTTAAAATAATTCAACAACACAAATTAAACGTTTTAATGTTAGTTGAATGGAGTTTTTATTGAAATTGGAGCTGGAAACGGCCAGAGGCGCTCAAGAACGGCGTGGCTTGAGGCGGCGAAAAACTGGTCCGGGTTGCTCATAGAAGCCGATCCCCTTTTGAAAGAATTCTTGTCTTGGTCTGGCCGAAAAGCCGACATCTATCCAACCTGCGTCGGACTCGGAAAATACTCATACACCGTAAACATACATAAATCCTGTCATTGTCTTTTATAAACCGTGTCTTCGTTGCAGGGGGCTTTCGGCTGGTTGCCGAACTACCAAAGCCGCCTGCTGGACGAGGAATGGGCCATTTTGGAAACGATAGAGGATGTTTGTTGCTATCCTTTGTACACGTACATCCTTGCCGCCAAGTACAGGCATATAGATTTAATCAGCCTGGATATCAACGGAAACGAAATCAAAGTCTTGAAGACGATACCATGGAAGAAAATCTCCATTAATGTAAGACCATCCATGAATTCATCGGCATAGTGTGACGTTAATTCTTTAAACTCCGATAGATTATCCTGGTGCGATACTTGAACAATGATAGTCGAGAACAACTCATTCAGTATTTGACGAAATATTCCCCAGTCCGGTACGAAGTAAAAAACGACGTGACTTATTTAAACAAATATTTAATTTTTTGTAAAATTACAATACATTGAAAACAAGATTTTACAGTATTTTATATTAGTTAAATATTATTCAACACTTGGTACATATTAAGTTTATGTTTTGTACTGAAAACAATAGTTCATGAATATTTTTGATGAGTATCAGGCATCCATAAAATTAGTAAAATGGGGAACCGTCTGGCCCCTCGGCCGTTTACGATTGTGCCGTAAAATCCGGTTTAGTTCATGGTTTGATACAGTATGATATGAATAGCAATTTATATTAACATTTATTGTTTTTACGAAATTGAATATTAAGCCATATATGGGCAGCATTAACACGTTCATCTTTACGAATATTATACAATTAATTAAGGTTTTAAGTTGAGATAAAAAAGTCTGTGTCACGAACGAGATTCGAACCCACGATCTTCGGCTAAATACGCAGCTGCCCTACCACTTGAGCTATCGTGATTTCGATCCCCTCGAGCACTAACTTCCCATCACAACCGCACCTTTTGAATTTTCCCTCCTTTCCCCGAGGGGATCGAAGTCACGATGGCTCATGTCGTAGAGCAGCGGCGTATCAAGCCGAAGGTCGTGGGTTCAAATCCTGCTCGTGACACTGACTTTCTTATCTCAACTTAAAACATTAATTAATTGTATGATATTAATTGGTCAAGCGGACCTCGAAAACTAGTGAACTTTACTAATATTTTTGTATTATTGTAGGTGTAAATTTAAAACCATCAGTTTACCTGAAATTTAATGAAATTTTTTTGTATGGAAATAACGGTGCAATGATGATAAGGATGGCCATAGTGGTGACGGTAATAATGAGGTTGATGATCAAAATACTATTATTGTTATCATTCAATTAATTAAGTTTTAAGTTGAGATAAAAAAGTTCCTTTTCCGGGGGGGGTTTGGACCCCCGGCCTTTGGGTTTGTTCGGCGTTTCTTTTCCTCTTTGCCTTTTGTTGCTTTGGTTCCCTTGGGGCCTTACTTTCCCTTTTCACCCCCTCCTTTTGATTTTTCCCTCATTTTTGCCATTTTTCAAATGTCGTGTAATCGGATTGGATTCTCGGCGATAAATGAATTTATATATATGAAAGTGAATTTAATTGATTAAAATGAAGTACACTTCACTAAAGCTCTCCGTGGCCATTTCATTTGTCTAAAACCCGTTCATAACTGAAAACTTTAATTAATTGTAATTTATGTAAGGTATTGGTTGAAATAAAAAAGTTAGTGTCACGAGCGGGATTGGAACCCACGACGCATTTTGTAATAATTTGTTGTTTTGATTTTCGATTTTATTCATATATGGTATTTCATGGATAGTATATTATTTGTATTAAGATGAAAAACATATTTTGCTTTTTTGGATTTGGAAAGGATTGAACGAGCATAATCCTACAGGTCGTGCTTTTGATCGATTTTCATAGACATATTAGCTAAATGAAACATGATAAATTGCAACCTGATTAAATAGTGTAACCCTTTTTTTAACTGGCGTGTTTAACTTAGCCTAGGTGTACCTTGTTAACTCGATTTGGAACAGAAGGGTTGCACAAAGGTTAAAAAAAAAACTTAAGTGACACGTTAATAAACGTAACGAAAGTCGTTTACCCTCTTAAACCACGCTTCCAAACCGGTACTAAAGTCTACTCCATTTGCGTTGCACAATTACAAGGGACGGTTGTCTTAAGAGGTCCTAAGCCAGGCCAATAAACGACGCCCGGCAAGGGTAGATTTACTGCCCCCGCGGACATAAAATAGAATGAATTAATCCCCTTTGCGCTACCCCTGCATTACGTTAATGGCCGGCTGAAGATACCCGAGCTCTTGAGAAACAAATCCAACACGATGGAAATTCATTTGAGCTGAGTATTATCCCAAATATTAATTGCTGGTTAATACACATGTGGATTGGTTTACTAGGCTTGACCCTCGATTTGTTCCAATTAGTCTTTATTAAGCAGAAAACCAGGAGAGTCGTGTTACTTTAATTTCAAGATATGGATAAGGGCATTGAATTTTATACTTGTTTGTGGTTACTTTCTACAAATAGCAATAATGAAAAATTTTATAGTCGTATTGTAATTTTCTTCATAATATTAATATCCTTAGCTTTCTTTTAAAAGGAAAACGAGTGGTTACGCCATCCGAATCTTGTTTGATCACGTTAGTGGTCATGGTTCGAATCACCGGTCTACCGCATGACGTTCCATTAGTGAATTGTATGAAATAACTATTGTAAAAAACTTCATTTAACGTTTAAACAGATAAACACAGATATAGAAAAAGGTATGCAGAAAAAGGAAATAATAGATTGCATTTCTTAGTATGATCATGAGAGTTAGAGATCTACCCGCACTGAACTACTCGTGTGGAAGATAAGACGATGGTCAAAATATGTAATATGAATAAAAAGGAAGACACTTATCCCTTTACAACAGAATGTTCTATATTTAAAAAAGAAAATGAATGAGATATTTTGCGAGGGCCAAATTACAAGTAGGAAAATTTTTCAGTGTTGTTAATGGTGAAAAATTTAGCAAATTGTACAAGTATACGTCGCTAGTTATGAAATATAGACGGGTGCTAATAAACGAATGTAATTATTAGATTACATACATCGGGGGGCGTCGGTGGCCGCAACGGTTTAGGCGTTGACACGGCACTCATCACTGTAAGATAAAGGTCCCGGGTTCGAACATACATCATATCATTTTGAAATATGTTGCTGTTATTATATAAATAAACATTTAAAATTTTTTTTTGCTGAAATTGCTGCGTTCGTTTTTGTATAAGTACCTGAAAAGAGAAAATGTATAGATTATTCATAATTTGTTTTCTTAAAGATGTATTTGTAATTTGCTAAATTTATTTATTCATGATCTGTTCATCATTTGATAGGATGATATGATATTAGGTATTGTTTGGTTTCACCATAGTATACTTTTTTGCAATCTTTGCATTCAATTTTGTATTCCAGGCCTGATTGTAGTCCTTTCTCAATTTTATCTTTTAGCGGTGGGTAGAANATAATATATTTATTACTTGCATAATGATTATTTATGAATTTGTATACAATAAGAAATATATATGTAGTGTTGTTGTGTTAAATGATTTCTTGTTTATCACTGTAAAAATATCAATCAAGCAGACGGACTTATTCCGATGCTTGCGTTTATTATGAAGTAAATGATATGTTATCTTTTGTCAAAATACTAAGAATAAACGATGTTTTCTTATATTTCGACCTCAACAGTTTAACTTATGATTTTTCCTTCTCGAAGGTGTGAAAATGGGTTTTTATTTATTTATTTTTTTAAATTTTTGTTTTACAAATTAAAATAGCAATCACTTATCATATCACAGTCTCGACGGTAATTAACACAGTTTATCTTTTTTTATCTAAAGGGCCTCCAGAAACTTTCGTTTTTTACTATTTCGTTCCTTTGTAACAATACTAACATCATCAAATAAAAATGTATGACCTTCAACATCTGCATGTTGTGCCAAGGCAGTTTCATTGTTTTTACTATTTTGCACTGTATATTTATGTTGATAAATTCTGTTCTTTAGGTATTGTAAGTAATAATGCCTGATGTGCTCTGTTGAAGATACTGCTAAAATCAATTAATACTAATTCTATTATTTTGCTATTATTTATTATATTTCTAGCATCNTCTCTCTCTCTCTATCTCTCTCTCTCTCTCTCTCTCTCTCTCTCTCTCTAAATTATTAATTATTAATTATAATTAATAAATTATTCTATAAAACTAATTACCCAAAAAACTAATAAATGTAGGTATGAAAAACGAAAAGAAAAATTCTATAATAACCTCCATAGACTGTAGAATACAAAAAAAATATATTAGTTTTTTATTCAATGCTGATTTAACAGACAAAACACTGAAAGTTTTAAGACCAGAACCCATTTACTTTTATATCAACTTAAATAATAAAATATGTACAGTTATTGCAACAATAAAAGATACACTAAGTGAAATAGAACAAAACAAATTGGTTTATTTGTTAAAGTATACATATGATAAAATTATACATACGTAGGAGTTACGTGTTTTCCCCCGAGGGTTATATCACCATCTGGGCGCCGGTGTTTTTGAAAGAAAGACCATTTGAAAGTATGTCGGGTTCGCATGCAGGGCCGCTGGATTCGAACCAGGGACCTTTAACTTACAGTGATGAGCGCCGAGTCAACGCGTAAACCGTTGCGGACATCGACGCTCCCGGCTGGAATTTTAATACTTTACGTCCGTTGCAAATGGTTATGGAATCTTACCGAACAGTAATCAACCCTTTAATTTAGTGCCTGAGCACCAAGTGGTTATAAATTATTAGTTCAGCCACTTTCCCATTAATACCTATAAACTGTGAAAAAAACCACATTGGTTGATTTATTGTTGATAATTGGCTGATTTATACTGTGTTTGGTTGTAGATTGTTGACATGATTGTATTAGTAGAAAATATTGTCGGTCTTACAACATACGAAATGAATTCAAATTAAGACAAAAAGTCTTAGAAACATAAGGAGGTCGGGCGCATGTTAAGATTTATAATAAGTATTCCACTATCCTAATTCAACTTTGAAGTTGACAGAATTTTTTGGTCCAATTGGATACGATAATTGAAAAATTGGCGCCTGCCCACGGGACATGAATTATATAAAAGGTTGGTGAAAAATATAGTTTGTGGTAACTGTTTCTTTAAAATGTATTTATAAGCGTGAATGTGTGTGATTTTAGTATATCGTCGATGACAGAATATTTAGTATATAAATACTAAGTACTATTCGTAGTAGGAATCACCCTACAAGCTGTAGGTCTAACAGATAAGGCATAAAAATTATGTTCTGCGGCGTTGCTATGAATGGCCAGAAACAGCCAAATGTTCGATATAATTAAGAGTACTCAGTTATGTATATTGTTGGAACTTACTATCTTATATTTTGGCATTTTTTCAGTCTATAAGTCTATTAGATTAAACTTAGTGCATGTGGTTATGTATAATAGTTGACTTTTAATACAATCAACAGAAATAACAATTGATATAAAGAGGTATATTTATGCAGGTCTTCCGAATCAACTTTAAGATCGGTTTCGGAGGACACTGCTGTACCATCGGCAAATGATGCAAGTAGAGTGGTAGATGTAGTTGGAGGATTGGTCCAAGCACAGATCCAAGCATCTTGTTTGACTTAGCCTATATCAATAGGTTTCATGTATGTGCTTAAGAAACCGTCAAATTTATATTTTTTGGAATCTGCGGCCGATATTTTTTTGCTCTCTGAGGAAAAATTAAGCAAGCTAAAGGCTACTGAATTCATCTTATAGGTATTTTCATCATATTACCTTCACATGAAGAATAATTATATTTGTTGAGTTTTATCCCAAACTGTAAGTTGTCTGATTAATTTAAAAAGTAAAGAATGAATGGAAAGTTTGTTCAAAATCAATGGTACTCTTTTGACTGGGCTAAAGCCGTCCTAATTAAATTCGATTTGGCGATCCCGCGTTGCAGATTGGATAACTCGGTGAGTCAGTCTTCAAAGCTCTATTTGCGCGTCGGAGCGTGTTCTGCAAACAGGGGCTCGCTGAAACACGATACCTCGACCGAAAACCGTCTGCCCGTACAGAATAGGATTCGGCGTTGGCCGTAACTCGATCATCCCCCGGATATTTCCAAGGACCTGGAGATTTTTCTGCCGCACCCTCCCTTTTCCGGGTCCGGCGGATTGCATTTGTCAAACCGTATTTGCGATCCCCTCTGGGCAAATTGCCTCCTTTCGCCGGCCACCTTAACTTAGTTTCCCCGCACTTACTCCGCCCAAACAAACATTCTGTTTGCAGACCGTGTAAAATTCTATCATCCTGTCTCAATTCCTTGGGTTTCGTATGTTCCACCCCTCAGAACAAATCATGAAGCCTAACCTACTTAGACCACATTTATACCAGAGTCATCTTTTTACCTTAATTGTGAGCTGTTTTGAAACCATTATAATTCAAAATAAGTGTAATATACCAGTGTATAACTAGTTGTTCTGAAGTTACACATATTAGTTCTAAAATAGTATTTATTGTTTTGGACCTTTTGTGTAAAATAATACCCTTTTTTATAAAAACAATATATTAAACTTTTAAAATGATTTTTTAGAATCAAAATATAAATGAATGATTACAAATTCTACTCCTCATTTCTTCTTTGTGTGTCGTTTCATAGATATTTGAACACTATCAGCACGGAGTGAACAGTGGAACAAAAGTGAAAAAAAATTTTTTTTACAAAGAACTTTGAAAAATTATTGGTGTTAATTTTGTAGGAGTATGCACACACAGGTTTATCTTTCCAACATTTCTTTCGACATCGTTCACAGTATAATAAAGCAGTACTCAAAGTAGCCCAGAAACCCTTGGAACTCACGTACCCTCCCAGCCCTTTTTTCTCTTCAGAAATTAAACATAACTAAAAATTACCTTCTCACAAAGCACAAAATAACAGTTTCTATTTAGAGTAGAAATCTGTTTATCCGGACTTAAAGGGAAGGGGATTTGTCCGGTTGATCGAAAATCCGGATAATCCGAAAATTTGTGATTTTATTAGTACCGTGCCATAAAAACGGAAAAAAGCGCACATACGAAGGTGAACACTTTTATTCACATATCAAGTAACCTTTGAAATAATACATAGTTTTTATTAGTTTTATTTGTGTTTTAGTCCGGATACGCGTTTCTTGAAAAATTTATATGTAAAAAATACCTAATAAAATTTTATACGTAATAAAAAAAAACTTTTCAATAGAAGCCAACATAGGAACGACACGAGACAACAATTTCTTGTCTTTTAAAATAGTATACTTTTTAAATGTATTTTTTTTAATTATTCAGAAATCGTGAGATGCGGTCTGGTGTGATGTAGGTTTCAGAAAAACATTTTCTTTATAGTGCCAACGTTTCGATCTTTATTGAGACCATCTTCAGGGCCTGGGATTTACAAACATTGTTTACATTTAACAAATACATTTAGGATATAAAAAGTGAATTTATACAATGCAAAATATATTTTATATTCAAACAAAGTATTTCTCCTCACTCAAAGTGTGTGTCTTCTGTGTAATTGTGCCATTCTTGCGTGTCGTGTTGAGATACTGTTCTTTTATGTTTATATATGTTGGATTTTGAAGGGGTGGAGAAGGAAGTCGGTATAGAAAAGACATTTTTGTATAAGGGCTCGGCTTCTTTGAGGTGAAACGAGCCGACGAAGGGAAACAATGTGTTGGTAATGGTTCGGCCAGATTATCCTTTCAGGATTATATAGAAAGGGATAAATAGGATAAGGAAGGCTAAATTGTTGGACAATTAGACTATGTAAAAAATAGTTGATGTGGGGAATGTAATGACATATGTATCTTATCTATATTGAATTTGATTAATGATATTGGCGTAGCTGCGACTGAGTTTACATGTATCTGTTCTGTAATTGATGCTGTGTTTATCTCGGTTGATATAAATCATTTCTATGAAATTACGTTTATATTTGTTTTGTTCTGTATGTAATATTTTTGGTTTTTTGAAGTCGAAATTGTGTTGGTGTTCAAAGTGGTGGGTAGCGAGTGCTGTAGGATTTGCTTGGGTTTTTTTGCAATCATAGATATGTTGCTTTACTCTCTTGTCCAGATATTGAGATGTAAGACCGCTGTAAGTTGCCGGACAGTTTAAACAGTTGATCTTGTAGATTACGTCAGATTTATTTGTTATTGTTGTGGGATCATTAATTTTGGAAAAAAGTGTTGGGATTGTTTTATAATTTTTGAAATCTATTTTGAAGTTATTGGACGAGAGAAATGTGTTTAATTTATGTGATAGGCCTTGAATAAATGGCATGGAAATGTATACTGGTTTGTTTGTATTTGATATGCTTAATGTAGTATTATTAGTAATAGTGGAATGTGTTAGTGTTGAGTAGTTGTTGATTATTCTGTTAATGATGTGTTTAAGGTAGAGATTGTTTTGGAGGATCTTTTTGTATATCTTTATGTTCTTGTGGTGAAATGATTCATGGCTTAGGGTCATCATTCTGTGAAGTAACCCTTTGGCCGTGTTTATTAGGAAGAGGATGGTGAGATGTAAAGTTGAGGTAGCGATCTGTGTTTCTTGGTTTTTGATACCAATCTGCGATTAATGTGCCATCTGGTTGTTTTATTACGAGTGTATCTAAAAATGGTATTTTTTTGTTGTTTTCGATTTCATGTGTAAAGCTTAAACTGGATCTTGACGGTTGTGCATACTTGCGACTTGTGAAGAACTGGCGAGGCGAGAACAGAAGGTTCACTTTTTTTCGAAGATTGAGATGTATTGAACGGGGTTTATAATATATCCGTAATGAAAGAAATGAAGGCATAATGAAGTGTAGGTAACACAAACCAACAAATATATTTACTGAAAACAACCCCACAAACATATTGGAAAAACTTTGATATAACAAAAAATACAATATTTATAAAACAATATCTCACCAACCTTACTCTGTGAAACATCGGCTTACACTGAGCAAATCTGCCGAATGTCTAGCTGGTTCAAAGCCATCTTTATGTCCAGAGCCAACTTAATTATTTTTAATTAATATTAACAAATCATAATAATAAAAATGTTGCAATTATTTTGATAGTGTTGTCATAAGTAGTTGAGAGTGATAATGACTCTTTTAAAAAGGTCAAAAAATTTACTGTATAATATATCAACGTAAACTTTAAAGGATTGATACAAGAAAAATATTCTCCTGCCGCCCTTAAAAGCGATCGTACTATATTACAGAAATTATCTTGTAAATTAGATGTATTGAATGAAATTTATTCCCTTCATTAAAGAAAGTACAATAACGCCACCAAAGGCAAGGTAAAATACAAATATGAAAAATTGTTTGTTATTTGCGAGTATGAGAGGACATTGTTACGGTAAAGCGTAGAGGGTTTGGTCACATAAAACAAGGGGTGGTTGTGATGACGTCTTAATAGAAAAGGCTTTAATCTTCTCATGACGACCCCTGACAAAAAGTACTATTCGGGAAATCTGGACGTCCTTTTGTCTCTGTCTCCCCTCTTGTCTTGTTGTTTATACTTTCTGAAAATATCTGACTGGACGAAATACAAGTAGGTTGAGATTGACTCGACGTAATAGACAAACTCGTATAGGATCCGTGATTCTTTCGTTAAATAATTTACTATCTCTGTCACGTCGTCCCGTGTTACGTATCTTACAAGAAGAGCCTGAAATGTGAAAATGTAAGATTTTTGATTTTGAGTGTGGTTACCTGTGCAAAGTGTGTACCTTAATGTCCACTTTGCTCCACGGTGTTGTCTTGAGGGCGTTTATTTCTCTCCCGTTGATGTCCAAAACCAAAAGGTCGACGGACTTGTACCCAGCGGCGAGAAAGTAAGTGTACATTGGGTAGCAGTCAACATCGACTATTGTTTCATAAATGATCCAGTCGTCGTCGAGAAGCCGACTGCCGTAATTTGACCTTAAACCTAACGCGCCAATATACGGATATTTCTGTAGACCGAGACAGCTGGAGAATATTTTGGCCTTCCGGCCTGATTCATTAAGGCGTGGTTTCATCAACGGGTTCGCCTCGATCAGGATCCCGTTCCAGTTTTTGGTTTCCTCCAGCCAAAGAGTCCTCGAGTATCTGATGCCATCTCCCGCGCCAAAATCCATGAAGACACCGTTCACCTAAAACAAATCATGGCAGTGGAAGACCGTTCTGCTTAATAGAGAAATATAATTTAAAATCACGTAAGTTCTCAATAATATCTTCATTGTAATGAAAATCTTTTATTTCTAAAATAAGGATGCTGAATTAAATTAAATATTTATTTTTATTCGATGATTAAAAAGCTTCAGTGTAGCCCAACATGTAAGGGATGGTCATATATCAAGATTGGCGTTGAAGGAAGTTGTTGGTCTGGGAGTCGTTAAAACTAACCGGCACTGGGACCGTTTAATTTCCCCACTGGAGATGGCGGAAAGCCGAAAGGCATTTGGGTCCCATCAAAAACCGTTCGAGTGTCGACGGACCCAATAATTGGTCAAGTGCCGGATCAACAATATTTTGGAGATTTAAGCATCTATACACCTATACTACCAACAGCAGAACGTCATGGTATATCTATACATTAGGTCGTTCGTTTAATGCTATAAAACCTGCCTTTATTGAATTATTCCAAGCGGTATTTATTTAAATAATTATGAATCATATGTGTTTCATTATTACTAAATTTTAAGATATAAATAAACTATTGGTCTAATGGTAAAAATTGCTTCAAAGCTTTTAAAACAATCTGCATTTTGGAACTAATAATGACTTCTCATTGACTTTTGCTAAGCAGTACGTTTTCCAATAGGTTAAATAAGATGTAGATTTGGAAAACAAACAGCACAAAACATTAATTATTTTAAAATTTAGTTTTGATATTCTTCAATCCTCGTTGATCAAGTTATTTCAAAGTCTAATCATTTGTGATTTGTTAATGGAAAAATATCATTACTTTTTTTCCCATCACGCTCCATAGGAGGAAGTCAATTTTGCTTCGAATAGGTTTGTTTGTAATATGTTCGGTCGTGTCAGTCGGATGTTTCAGCATGGTTAGCTTCAAGCTTTTTACTAGCGCTTCGTCGTCCATAAAGCGGCCAAAATGATAATCTGTAATTTTTATTTTATTAGGTTATAAATTTGTTTTGTATGTAGAGAGCCTTGTTTTAGCGGAATGGAAGCAATCGAAGATTTCAATAGTTGAACAGCTTCCAAGTTATTTTATAAGTTTGAAATTTACCATCTGTGAAAGTTTCTCTTCCTAGAAAGTAATTCGAGTGATTAATTATTTGTTCATTTAGTGTTTACACTGTGAAAATGTTTACCTAAAATATTATTACTGTCGAGGCTATCGTAGTCACTAAGATTAACAACAAGCAAGGAGAACGTGATGAGACCAAGGACGAACATAACAAATATTCCGACCAGACGAAGTTCAGAATTGTCATCCATCCCGGGAGTCATGAAAACAGCTGATTTTATGCGAAAGAAGTTCTAATGCAATACTAAAATCAGAAAGGTTCGTTCTAGATCACACTTTTTTTCTAAGGGGCCTCAGGACAATTTCATTCCATGCAGCAATCACATTGGCTGGGTTTCTAACTATTGATGTCCACTTTTTTTCTAAACGAACTCGTCATTAATCACATGTAATTTAAGGTAACGAGCTCTCAAAATGAAAAACATGCTTATATGTATACGAAGCCCTTCCATTATAATAAAATTGACCAACTCGCGTAAAATTCAGGTAAAGGTAAGGTGTACGCTACTTCATGGTCACTCCCCCCACACAGAATCTGCTCCCGCTTCCCTATAGATTTTGCTCTGTGGAATTTTATGCGATTTGGAAAGCTTGGGGTGATTCGAGGCGGTAGTGGCTCTGCTTGCCTGGTCTCCATCAGCGCGGTTACGGTTGTCCGTGATAAGTTCTCTTTCGACCCTCTCGTTATGCTCTTGTTGGTGGAATACCATGAACTGAAACGTCTCGGCAAAACGGTGGTCGCCGTCTGGGTAGCCGGACCCAGGTCTGGAGAATAACGAAAAGGCGAACGAGGTGGCTAAAGCCGGAACGTCCCAACCACTGGATTTAAACACCGCAATCCGACCCTCTAACGTTAAGAATGTAATAAAAAGCAGGATTAAAAGAAAATGGCATCGTGGGTTAGCCCGATCGGCAGATATGGCTCTCGCGTATCAAGAGCACTGTCGATAGGTGATCCTAGGAGGACTTGACTCCTAGAAGAAGGGTCATCCTTACCCTATTAAAGCTTGGCGAGCGATACGGACACACGGACACGCATTTGAGCCAAATCCCGGGCAATATGTCGGGCATGTAGAGAAAGATTGCTCGATGTGCGCCACCTAATTGACGGGTGCAACAATTTAGCTTCTTCATATAGAGAGCGCGTAGGAATGCCACCCGATATGAGAATTGTGTTTGAGCAAGGCAGCGAGTATCTGGTCCCCGTAGGTAAAATGTTTTCATGTTGTGGCCATCTATCCCCTCTCAATACTACAGCTTTAAACAGGCATGTCCTTTCTCGGTAGAACATCCAGCAACTGAATAGAATGTGTTCCCATGTTTGTGTACCACCTTTGCATGGGCATGTCGCATGTGCAATTGTGCCAAATCGAGTGAGATATGACTGGTGCTTTCCATGGCTTGATAAAGCCACGGTGATTTTGTGAGTATGGCAGGTGCTCATTTTCAGATGAGATTCTATGGTGGAGAAGTATTTCCTTGTTTCACATCCATTTGTGGTTTGTCTCCCTTCTTGCTCCCAAATTTGTAGTGATTCCTTTTCCATGTTCTTCTTAAAATAAGAAAGGGGAATCGCGCTGAATACAACTTGCAATGCCGTGTTGTTTGCTGCCTCCTTTGCTAGTTGGTCCGATCGTTTCCCTGATGTCCTGCATGAGCCATTATCCATCTTATATGTATCGAGTGCTCTTTTGTAGCCCTCATATTATCCAGCGTTGTTCTTATTTCTTCCGCAAAGGTGTTGTGATTTCGATGGTTGCTCAAGATATCTAAAAACATCTTACAATCTGTTCTTACGGCTATCCTTACGTTTTCAGTTGTACTCAGCTGATTTCTTCTCTGATCTCTGATAATAGTAACTCCGATTGATTATTGAGCACCACGGTGCGAGCTTTAATTTTTCTTGTTAATAATTTTGTTTGATTTTTTGTGAATGATTGTGAAGGCACATCCTACTTTGCCTCCCATGCAGCTTCCATCGGTAAAAATTTCGATACCGGAGTATCCAATTCCAAATTGTTTCCTACTCAGGATAGATGCGCCCATTTTCTAATGAGCAGTGGCATGTCCAACTTATACTCTGGCCCATATGTGATGCGGGTACCATTTAACATTTCCCATAGCTCCGTTTTTCTTTTAAGTGGACATCAATAGTTAGAAACCCAGCCAATGTGATTGCTGCATGGAATAAAATTGTCCTGAGGCCCCTTAGAAAAAAAGTGTGATCTAGAAAGAACCTTTCTGATTTTAGTATTGCATTAGTACTTCTTTCGTATAAAATCAGCTGTTTTCATGACTCCCGGGATGGATGACAATTCTGAACTTCGTCTGGTCGGAATATTTGTTATGTTCGTCCTTGGTCTCATCACGTTCTCCTTGCTTGTTGTTAATCTTAGTGACTACGATAGCCTCGACAGTAATAATATTTTAGGTAAACATTTTCACAGTGTAAACACTAAATGAACAAATAATTAATCACTCGAATTACTTTCTAGGAAGAGAAACTTTCACAGATGGTAAATTTCAAACTTATAAAATAACTTGGAAGCTGTTCAACTGTTGAAATCTTCGATTGCTTCCATTCCGCTAAAACAAGGATTTCTACTTACAAAACAACTTTATAACCTAATAAAATAAAACATTACAGATTATCATTTCGGCCGCTTTATGGACGACTAGGCGCTGGTTAAAAGCTTGAAGCTAACCATGCTGAAACACCCGACTGACACGACCGAACATATTACAAACAAACCTATTCGAAACAAAATTGACTTCCTCCTATGGAGAGTGATGGGAAAAAAAGTAATGATATTTTGCCATTAACAAATCACAAATGATTAGATTTTGAAATAACTTGATCAACGAGTATTGAAGAATATCAAAACTAAATTTTAAAATAATTAATGTTTTGTGCTGTTTGTTTTCCAAATCTACATCTTATTTAAGCTATTGGAAAACGTACTGCTTAGCAAAAGTCAATGAGAAGTCATTATTAGTTGCCAAATGCAGATTGTTTTAACAGCTATGAAGCAATTTTTACCATTAGTACAGTTTAATTATATCTTAAAATTTAGTAATAATGAAACACATATGATTCATAATTATTTGAATAAATCCAGCTTGGAATATTTCAATAGAGGCGGGTTTTACAGCATTAAACGAACAACCTAATGTATAGATATACCATGACGTTCTGCTGTTGGTAGTATAGGTGTATAGATGCTTAAATCTCCAAAATATTGTTGATCCGGCCCTTGACCAATTATTGGGTCCGTCTACACTCGAACGGTTTTTGATGGGACCCAAATGCCTTTCGGCTTTCCGCCATCTCCAGTGGGGAAATTAAACGGTCCCAGTGCCGGTTAGTTTTAACGACTCCCAGACCAACAACTTCCTTCAACGCCAATCTTGATATATGACCATCCCTTACATGTTGGGCTACACTGAAGCTTTTTAATCATCGAATAAAAATAAATATTTAATTTAATTCAGCATCTTTATTTTAGAGATAAAAGATTTTCATTACAATGAAGATATTATTGAGAACTTACGTGATTTTAAATTATATTTCTCTATTAAGCAGAACGGTCTTCCACTGCCATGCTTTGTTTTAGGTGAACGGTGTCTTCATGGATTTTGGCGCGGGAGATGGTATCAGGTACTCGAGGACTCTTTGGCTGGAGGAAACCAAAAACTGGAACGTGATCCTGATCGAGGCGAACCCGTTGATGAAACCACGCCTTAATGAATCAGGCCGGAAGGCCAAAATATTCTCCAGCTGTCTCGGTCTACAGAAATATCCGTATATTGGCGCGTTAGGTTTAAGGTCAAATTACGGCAGTCGGCTTCTCGACGACGACTGGATCATTTATGAAACAATAGTCGATGTTGACTGCTACCCAATGTACACTTACTTTCTCGCCGCTGGGTACAAGTCCGTCGACCTTTTGGTTTTGGACATCAACGGGAGAGAAATAAACGCCCTCAAGACAACACCGTGGAGCAAAGTGGACATTAAGGTACACAATTAAACACACTCAGAATCAAAAATCTTACATTTTCACATTTCAGGCTCTTCTTGTAAGATACGTAACACGGGACGACGTGACAGAGATAGTAAATTATTTAACGAAAGAATCACGGACTCTATACGAGTTTGTCTATTACGTCGAGTCAATCGCAATCTACTTGTATTTCGTCCGGGCGGATATTTTCAGAAAGTATAAACAAAAGGACAAGTGAGGAGACAGAGATAAAAGGACGTCCAGATTTCCCGAATAGTATTTTTTGTCTGGGGTCGTCATGAGAAGATCAAAGCCTTTTCTATTAAGACGTCCGTCACAACCCACCCCTTGTTTTATGTGACCAAACCCCCTACGCTTTACCCTAACAATGTCCTCACAACCTCGCAAATAACGAACATTTTGTATTTTGTCTTGTCTTTTGTGGCGTTAATGTACTTTCTTTAATGAAGGGAATAATTTTCTATCTATACGTCTAATTTACAAGATAATTTGTGTAATATAGTGCGATCGCTTTTAAAGACGGCAGTAGAATATTTTTCTTGTATCAATCCTTTAAAGTTTACGTTGATATATTATACAGTAAATTTTTTGACCTTTTTAAAAGAGTCATTAACACTCTCAACTACTTATTACAACACTGTGTCAAAATAATTGCAACATTTTTATTATTATTATTATGATTTGTTAATATTAATTAAAAATAATTAAGTTGGCTCTGGACATTAAGATGGCTTTGAACCAGCTAGGCATTCGGCAGATTTGCTCAGTGTAAGCCGATGTTTCACAGAGTAAGGTTGGTGAGATATTGTTTTATAAATATTGTATTTTTTGTTATATCAAAGTTTTTCCAATATGTTTGTGGGGTTGTCTTCAGTANTCATTATTGTTTTGTATAGTATGTATTATTATTTTATTATTCAATTTTTGAGATATCTGAAAGCTAATTAGGTATACAAATGTTCTAAAATGATCCGAGGTTCGGTTTATTGGTCTTTTGTTTATTTCGATTTGCTCCTTAATGCACTGTTCTGTGAAAGACGTTTTGACAAGGGAAGCTCAGTTCATTTCTTGATATTGCTTGTATTCTTGTTTGAAGATTTCTTTCTTTGAGGGTTTTCGTTCTTTTATCAGAAGACAATCTCCTATTAGAGCACGTTGTAGTTCTTTTTTTCTCTATTTCCTCCCTTAAGAATGGACCTTACGTCTTCTTTGGCATTCAATTCTTTCTCTATAAAAACTTTTTGTTTAACAAACCCTTCAAATAGCCTTTACTTTAGTAAACATGGGAAAAAATAAACAATGATTATTTCAATTCCGGTTTGAAAATCATTGATTGGTTTTATAAATGTTTGTAATTCCTTTTTTAAAGGGTGACGAGAATGAAATTTGAAAGAAATTCATGGTGTTTTATGTTGTACTTTTAAAGAGTTGCGTAACTGTTATACGGTGATAGAACACATAATTTTAACGTTCAGCAATTCCTGACTTACATGAAGACTTAACGTCAAACTAGTTTACAGTATTTTATAGATATTGTTGTGAAGGAGCATTTGATGATTGAGCTTTGAAAGCAATGGTTACATCACTCAGATAGCGAGGAACTGATAAATTCTACTGAAGATGGATAGAATCTTCTAAATAGCACAAAAGTGCAGGCCTCCATGTTTCACGGAAAAGTAGAAACAGTGGTGGCGAGAGGATGTCCGCAAGGAAGAATACTCTTGCCTCTGCTGTGGAATATGCGACTAAGACCATATCAATCGCTTGTGAATATTAAAGGTTGTAAGAATGTTAAGACCAAGGTATGACCTCGACTAGGTTTATGATTCTCGAGGCCTGCCGGTAGTTTATAAAGTAAAGTACAACAGCCGGAATTGCCGGTGGACTGCGAGAAGTGATAGACTCAACAGCGTACAAGCGTGTTTGTACGTAAGTGTGCAGATTAGAGCTTATATAAATCAATAATCGGTTATTTTTTCTTTAAATTATTTTCCCCCGCTGAAAGGTTTCAGATCATGTCGATGATTTGTACCAGCTCCTTTTCTGAATAACGGTTTTTGCTTATTTATTTCTCTCAAATCAAACCTGACCTGGTTTTCAGTAAAAATAAATTACGGTTTTGGTGTAACAACTCAAGTTTATCTTCGACCTTGAAATGCTTTATTATTATTTTATCAACTCCTAATACTCTTTCATGGAGTACATGTCCACGTACGTAAGTTATTAAGCATTAGGTTAATTAAGGCTTTTAGTTGAGATAAAAAAAGTAAGTGTCACGAGCGCGATTCGAACCCACGATCTTCGGCTAGATACGCCGCTGCTCTACCACTTGAGCTATCGTGACCTCGATCCACTCCTTCCTATCTCAACCCCACTTTTTGAATTTTCCCTCCTTTTTGCCATTTTTCAAATGCCATGTAATCAGGTTGGATTCTCGACGACAAACGAAATGGCCACGGAGAGCTTTAGTGAAGTATACTTCATTTTTAATCATTAAATTCACAATTTCGTGGTCCGCTTGACCAATTAATATACTACAATTAATTAAGGTTTTTAGTTGAGATAAAAAAGTCAATGGCACGAGCGGGATTCGAACCCATAGGAAGTTGGTGTCCGAATGGATCGAGGTCACNACCCCACCCTTTGAGTTTTCCCTCCTTTTTGCCATTTTTCAAATGTCGTGTAATATATTTGATTCTCGGCAACAAATGAAATGGCCATGGAGAGCTTTAGTAAAGGTATATTTCATTAACTAAAAACCTTAATTATTTTAAAGATATTAATTGGTCAAGCGGACCACGAAACTAGTAAATTTAATAAGTTTAAATGAAGTATACCTTCACTAAAGCTCTCCGTGGCCATTGTATTTGTCGAAAATGGCACACGACATTTGAAAAATGGCAAAAATAGGGGAAAATTCAAGAGGTGGGGTTGAGATGGAAGTTAGTGTCCGAGTGGATCGAGGTCACGATTGTTCAAGTGGTAGAGCAGTGGCGTATCTTGTCGAAGATCATGGGTTCGAATCCCGCTCGTGACACTGACTTTTTTCTTCTAAACGGATTTCTCAACTAAAAACCTTAATTAATTTAAAGATATTAATTGGTCAAGCGGACCACGAAACTAGTGAATTTAAGCATTAGAGTTTTTTCCAAATTCTCCTCTGTACCTTTTTCCATATAGCCATCGGTAAAACAACATATTGTGCTTGTGCCAAAGGAGTTTGACACATTTACTCTGTCAGGGTATAGTTATATTAATAATGGAAAAGTTAATTAATATGATAGCTTTTTATGTTTCAACAATGTTTTTGATATCGTGCTTCAGTGATTTCAAGAACCACTTCATGAAGGTAAACTAAGTAAGGGATATAAAATAATAATAATGTTTTTGAAAGGGTTCTTTGCTTTTCATTTCCTTTCAAAGGCATCTCGGACTTTTTTTGTGTGCTTCTGTTTCATTTATATAGATTTCATTCTGATGGTTTACAGAGTCGTCGAAGCGTGGATGCGGTCCATTGCCTGAAAAACCATGAATTACAGACCGCAGGTTTCACAGTGCATCTTCCGAGCGTAACTGTGAATGGAAGGAGGATCATCTTCGGCAAACACAATAAGAGTTGAAGAAACACTCCTTTGTTTGACGGGTCAACGAGCACCGGGGGCATTCGAGGGTGGACATACGTGATCGACCCCGTGGGAAACAGGCCGGATTAGCCCGCTTTTGCTCATTTCCCACTGAGTCAACACACATCGAGCGGAAAGATGGACAAACAAAGAGGGAACGGGAGGAGGAAAAAACTAATCGGATATTACCGACTCCTCCAACATATAAAAGTACAACAGCACTTGGAAGGATTTCGGCCGTGGAAAGTTAGCAGAGTAGACGGAGCCGTACAAAGTTTCCTACAGGATCATCTGTCAGACTGTTAGCACAACTATAAAAAAAGTCAACAGAGGTAAAGATAAGCTGAGCATATGTACAGCTTCGTGGACCAACTGCATACATCCTTTTATTAAATAATCATACCAACCATATAACCTTCTGTCTTATATTTTAATATTTATTAAATAACATTTGAAGTTTTGAGTATTGATTTGCAATTTTTGTGCTTGAAAGACCAGATTATCGCTGGTAAGGTAAGATTAATTGGTTCGCCGATTGGTATTCTGCGTGTTCATCCATCCAGTTAATCCACTTTAGAACTTTGCTCCGTCAATTTAACCAGACTGAATTAAATTATTTCGAGCCTAACAAGCAATGTGCGATTTTATTTAAAACACACCATTAGAATAAGCAGACCCAAAATTCATTAATGATGTTTATTAAAAAATCATATTAGTTCATCCATATATTTTTCCATATAAGTTATTACAACTCTCCGTATAGTTCAACGCAGTTATCTCATAAATAATAATGGCTAATTGAATATCATAGGCCAAAAATAGGCTTTTTCGAACAAAAAAATTGAACATATAATAACTACAGTTTAATTAAATTTTAGGAATCAGATAATAATGTTTATGTAACCAAAGGGGGAAACATTATATCATTCCGAAGATTTAAATACTTAAATCTCAGCAGGAAACAAATGAAGGAAAATGTTTTTACTTCCTATTTTCAATTTAAATAGCTTCTTAAAAAAATGAGAAAAACAGAGACAGATACTTGTCGACTTTGGTATGGAAGAAATATCCTTTGTGATTGCGGTATAGCCTTTTCAGAACAGCTATATTTCGCCTAGGAGAAGGTAAACGCGGGAAAGTGCTCAACTACCCTAAATGGTATGGTAGGAAAGGATACCAGGAAGCAGGGTTTGCATTCCCCAGGCACTGCAGCCTTCTGGCTTATTGTACCTTCCTAGTTTCTTAGTTCAGTCAATAGACTCAATCCTTCTTCTTAGGTCATTGACTGTTGCTGCTGCAATTTGATTCCCCAAGTTTTTTTCCATACGTTAGGTTAAACCTCCATTGAGCTGTTGCTTCGCATTCGAAGATGATATGAGTGGCTGTTTCCTCCTCCTCATTACATAATCTGCAAATGGGATCATCGATGTATATACCCATGTTGTGTATATGTTTTCTCAGATGCCAGTGGCCGGTTAGTAGTTCTATCTCTCCTCTGAGTTTAGCCCTCTCCAATTGCAGCAGTGTTTTTGCCAGTCTTGGTGAGGGTTGTTTCACTATGTCTAGCACCGCTAGAGTTTATCCACTTCTCCTTTTGTTTTGTTTGGATCCATTCTGCGATGGAGGATTTTATATTTGTTTTTGTTATCCCAAGAATAGGTTAGGGGCCTATGTATGGTCTTGCAGATCCTCTTCTGGTCAGTCTGTCTGCTTTCTCGTTACCCAAAATTACCGAGTGCCCTGGCACCCAAGATATCATCAGGTTGTTGTGTTTCCCCAAGTTTTG